GCGTCTGGTAGCTTTTTTGTGAAGGCGAGAGTGCGCGGCGCGATGGCGAAAGCCACATTTCGGAACCGGCCCGCCCTCCATCCTTCTCTTCGTGGCTCCTTTATGAAACAAGCGTGCGTGGCGCTGAGCCGAGAGCCGTTCACTCGAAAAGGACTCGCCCCCCGCCGTCCTTGTGCTCGAGAGGGCCCCAAGAAGGCGCGACCAGAGATCCCCGTGAGACGACCAGATGGTCAGGAGAGCCGGCCGCCTCCCAGCTGGTCCGCTGAATGTCGAAGAGTTTCCGAGGCGGGTCCCGAGGAGCCGAGACCGTCCCGAGACATCTCAGGAGAGCTCCAAGATGGCCGAGAGAGTCCTTCTTCCCCCTTCTCCTCTCAAGCCCGTCCTCGACCTTGACCCCTCCTCGCCCCTTCCTCTTGTTCTTTACTTCCAGTTGTGCCTCATGTCTTCTCCGCCCTCTGGCATTCCCCGTTCCTCCTGCACGCGCTCTGCTAGCCGGCGTCACAGCACGTGCATCCTTTTTCGGTATTGGGGGCAGCTTTCCCTGGCGTGGCACATCCAGCCATATTGTTCGCTGTTGCCCACTTTTGCTGTAATCTCCTGTCCTTCTCGTGGTGCCCGTGTCGCCTTACCACGACATGAGCTCGGACATGGTGCGCATTTTTTTTTTTTTTTTTTTTTTTTTTCTTTCCCCCCCCCCCGAGCTGGCCAACTATTATACACATGCGACCCAGGGTACGGGAGTGACTTTGTGCGGCCTTTACAATATCCAGCTGCCTGCGGCAAGCCCCGCCGCCGTCCTTTGCAACTCCGTGACAGGAAGGAGTTTGAGCTTAGGTACAGCTTAACTTCGCCGAGCGGTATGAACTGAGGCGGGTCGCAAACTCGACCTCGTCTTCGTCCGTGGGGTAGGGATGATGGGATGATGCCGAGTTCACGCCTTGCAGCAGTTCGGCGACCTGTCTGAACTTGGGCGGGTCGTGAACTCGACGTTGACTTCGTCCGCGTGGTGGGAAGGAGTCGGGAGTTCAGCGAGCGGTCTGAGCTGGGGCGTGTCGTGAACTCGACCTCGTCTCCGTCCGCGCTGCAAGAAGGAGGCCGAATTCGTGCCCCACGCCTGTTGAGCGAGCGGTCTGAATTGGGGAGGGTCGTAATTTCGACCTCGTCTTCGTCTACGCGGTAAGAAGGGGGGCTGGGGCGGGTCGCAAACTCGACCTCGTCTTCGTCCGCGCGACAGGAGTGCGGTCGAGTTCACTCCCCGCGGCAGCTCGTCGAGCCACGTAGACCCATTGTGCACTTAGGGCCGTCTTTGGCGCCCCTCGGGCTGCCGTGAGGTCTGGGGGCCGCCTTGGAGGCCTGTTGGCAGTCTTGGGCCGATATCGGCTGTCTGCGGGCGTTTCTTCCCGGTTTCGGATGTGTTCAGTTTATTCTCTTGCACAGGGTGTCTAGAGCTCCGACCACTTTATTTCGGCACCGCACCCCCCCCTTCATCATCATCATCATCATCATCATCATCATCATCATCATCATCATCATCATCATCATCATCATCATCATCATCATCATCACCATCAGCATCATCATCATCATCATCATCATCACCATCATCCTCACCATCATCACCATCATAATCACCATCATCATCATCATCATCATCATCATCATCATCATCATCATCATCATCATCATCATCATCATCATCATCATCATCATCATCATCATCACCATCATCTTCCCCATCACCATCATCACCATCATAATCACCATCATCATCAACATCATCCACATCATCATCGTCATGCGCCTCCTCCGTCTCAGCGCCCTCCCGCGGCTCCAGCGCCCGCCCAGTGCCCCCTCCGCCCCGACCACTTTATTTCGGCACCGCACCCTCCCTCCCCGCTCCGCCCCCTCCCCCGCGCCGTCTCAGCGCCCCCCCGCGGCTCCAGCGCCCGCCCAGCGCCCCCTCCGCCTCGACCACTTTATTTCGGCACCGCACCCCCCCCCCGCTCCGCCCCCTCCCCCGCGCCGTCTCAGCGCCCCCCCGCGGCTCCAGCGCCCGCCCAGTGCCCCCTCCGCCCGACCCACTTTATTCGGCACCGCCACCCACGTCCCCGATCCGCCCCCTCCCCGCGACGTCTCAGCGCCCTCCGCGGCTCCAGCGCCCGCCCAGCGCCCCCTCCGCCCCGACCACTTTATTTCGGCACCGCACCCCCCCCCCCGCTCCGCCCCCTCCCCCGCGCCGTCTCATCGCCCCCCCGCGGCTCCAGCGCCCGCCCAGCGCCCCCTCCGCCCCGACCACTTTATTTCGGCACCGCTCCCCCTTCCTTTTTGTGCAAGAGCCATGGCACACGTGCCACTTGTTTTTGAGCTGTGTGGAATATGCCTCTGATGTGTTTTGGAAACTGTTGGGGGGTTTTTTTGTTGTCAGCAGATTTGGGCTGTTTTGACACCCCCTGGGCCTGTTTTGACCCCCTGATGGGGGCGTGCTTTTTTGCTGCTTTGA